TATCGGGAAGAACTGTTCCAAGACGTCACGTCTTTATGAAACGAAAGCGATACAGCAATTAGGAACTATTTCGATAGGAATAAGAGTAACTTGTGCGACAAAATTGGAAGTGTTAAAGAAGATTCTTGGGTTGGGTAAATTTTGGATAAAACGTAATGAGTTACGCCATTTTCATCCTGCTTTCGGCTTAGATTTCCAGCTGAAACGCACCCATATTTTATAAAGTTCATAAACATTTTAAAAAGCTGTTCCAAAACTTTGTAAAAAGATAATCAAACAACGCATCTGTGAACATTAAAAATATATTATTATTTGTTATTCGAATATGATAATGGTGAAACTATAAATAATAATAATAACAATAATGATAATGGTTTAATTTCTCAATGGAATATGATATTGCACGTTAATTGAGAAATCATAAAGAATTGAGAAAATAAAAAATATGTATAATTTTACTTGAATGACTTGCAATATTTGCTTTGTTAATTTTCAAAACTTCAAAGAGTCAAAATCGTCCGGGCATCTTTAAGAAGATAGAAAAGCGACATAAATGTGTTATTGCAAGGCGAATTAATATAAGGTGATAGCAGGAGTACAAAAACAAAAATTTACATGTATTTTGTTTTTGCTTTGGCGGCATAAACTGTCAAAATCTGTAAGAGTGTGTGTAGAAATTCAAACAAAATTTTTCAATTTGATATCAGAAGCCGTGCGGCGAAACACATACACAAAATCAGCTGAGCTAGTAACACCACCTTATATAAATTCGCCTTGTGTTATTGATTTTGTGAAACGAGTTAGTTATGAAACATATAAATCTTTACATGTTCTGTTAAAAAATATCTAAAATAACAAGCGATAATCCCCAAGTTCTATATCGTAGCAGTGGCCACATTGCGTGTTTGTCACAGACACGGTTTATGTCAAAAATTTTGAAGTGAAACTACCTTCTAAAAATTATTGTATCGTGCGAGTAACTATGCTATGATAACTTCTAATAGTGACGAAGAAATGACATCGTAGCGATAGGCGATAAAATTATCTTCCATTTGCTGGCAGGGGTCAAACTACATAACATATATGTATATACCTAAAATATCTACAGCGCATGTACAAATTTGAGATCGATTTTAAGCAATCGATATCCATATACCCACAAACATACATATGTTACTAACATAATTCAAGCGTTTTTATTTTTAATCCATAATTCGTTTATATTGACTTTTGCTAAAATTTTAAAATCAAAAGTTATCAAAACAAATTCTATGGGACTACGAAAAATTATTTAATACTTTTTAGTCTATTTACAGAAACGTGGTATACTAAAAAGTTTATTTTATTTTATTTTTATCCTATTTTGATGGTACTATTAAGGGAATTTGTTATGATACGGTATTCGCAGAGGTTAAAAAATAAGTATTTTTTTTAATTTACTCCTATACTCGTACATACATATTGCACGTTTACTAATATAAAGATGTAATTCATCATGTAATTTATAATGATTGATAAGGAGAATAGCCCAAAAAATACGATTACCACAGAAGTTAAGATGGAAGCAAATTAGGCGATGGGAATCGCTTACCCTTTCGCTTCAAGAAGACTTTATTTTAACATGGGCATATCATTGGCCGTAAGCCCTTACCCGCAGCATTACCTTGGATTGAAGGGAGAACGAATGGATAAACAGAATCCAGAGAAGCGAACAAAGAATGCCTTACAAAGAAACTAATCTAGAAATCCTAGATAAGTACATAGAGATTGTCTTAAAAGATTATGATTAATTAAATTTTTTATAAATAATTTTTTATGCATACATATATATGTTTGTATTTAGGTATTTAGATCTTACTTAAAAATCGGTATGTACATACATACATAATTAATTAAACTTAAAATTGTACTTCCTCACTCATGTACTTCACTTCATTGACTGACTTCAACTTCGCTGTAAATTAAACAAAGCAAACCATGATTTTTATGCGATGGAATTTTCAACAGAAAGTTACGATAGAAAAGAATTTTTGGGTATTCATTCTATTTTTCAGCTAACTACGGTGAAGCATTATACTTTACATTCCCCGTAGTGAATCAAAGCAGCGAAATTAATAAATTGTTGTAGAACATTCTGCTATGCATTACCGGCAATGCTAACAGCAGCGAAAAAATTAGAAGACATTCTAATAGCTTAAACAGACGGCAGCGTTGATCCGGATCAACTCGGACTTAATCGCGATCAACTGCAGTTAATTCCCGAGTTGATCCGGATCAACGCTGCCGTCTGTGTATGCTTTAAGGCAATGCGTTCTAGAACAGATTACCGCTGAAAGCGATTACCGATTTTTCGCTGGGTATGCTCAGCCTAACAGATGACTAAACTTCCAAAAAATGTCGAATGTACGTACATATTTATGTCGCTTTCCATCTGTCTTTTGGTATACTAATTGAACAATTTTCAAACTTTGATTGCCTTTTCTAACAAAATTGAAATTTTGAAATAATTCTGTATATTATTTAACGTGCGAAGATATTAATAGTCGAACATTTTACATAAAAAAAATGGTAGAAGTTGGTAGATTTTGTTAAAAGAAACAATAATTTAAACTTTTTTCTGATATATTAAGTAGGATAAATCAAGGCGAATTCATATAAGGTGTTGTTACCAGAGCAGCTGGATTTTCGCCTCGATGGTTCCTTATGTCAAAATCAGGGACCGTAAAAAGCAGTTATTTTTTTCCAACAGTTAAACTTGACCAGATATTTTTTAAGTTCGAAATAAAAGTCTTTCCGAATAGTAAACAAATTTGGTACCAAATAAAAGACGACTTAAATAGCTTTTAAACACAAATAACGATCGAAAGCTACCACTTCTATTTATATATTTATTTTTTTATAATTTAATACAAAAGAAATGCATATACCTGACCCAAGGTTTATTCTATGGCAATTAAAAAACATTTTTTATTTAAATATTTTTCAATAGCTGGCTTTCTGCAGGCTTTCCTCGTTTAAATATTTCAGTTTTAAAGCTATTTTAGTTATCTTTTAGTTGATACCAAACTTGTTTTATTTGGATAAGTGGTTTGTTTATTATTAGGAAAGGACTTTTTTCGACTTAAAAATATCTGGCCAAGTTTAGCTGTTGAAAAAAAGTAACTGTTATTTACGGTCCCTGGCCAAAATTATGTATGTATTTGTTATAATTCTTGCTGTCATTACGCGTAAAATTTGTTAGTGTAATTTTTGTTTTTGTACTCCTACTGAATAAAAACTATCTAACATTGACTCTTTCAAAAAAATCTAGCATGTGTTGTAATATTTTTTTTTATAAAACAACAAAAAATATATTTGGCGCCCGGCATACTTGGAGGAGTGAAACCCGATTCGAAACGAATGAAATAAAATGACAGCTCTTTTCTTTCAAATACTTTTTAAATTGATAAAGCGAACTCGCTATCAAATGCCGTGATCTCAAAAATATTTGCGATTAGAATTTGATTCCATCACGGATACCGTGTTTCGGGCCCTGTTTTAATTTAAAAAGGGGTTCAAACCATTACGCTCCACTTCAAAATTTTTTGATTAAACATGGATTTTAAATGAAATTTATAGATCATTCGTTTGGTAGTCTCCCATAAAAAAACTTATTGCAAACGAAAAATATTTCCATAACTAGCTGATAAAGATCGAATTTTACTTTTAAGTAAGGTATAATCAGAGTCAGTGTTGCCGCGAATCGTTTTTAGTGGTAGCCAAATTCCTTAAAAAAAAGGGCTAAAAAGAGCTAAAAAAATATCGTTGTGGCTAAAAATAGTAGCTAAAATTGTTTACTTACATATACATATATAAGTATATACGCAAGTATTTTCAATAAGTAATGGTATAGAAAAACAATGAACCCTGGAAAAAACTAATATTTTATCCAACCAAAAACATTTTTATGTAAAAGGGGAAACACACAACACAACTTCGCTGGAACCATCAAGTGATTGTAACATAAGGCTCGAAGCATATAATATACTGGTCGAATATTTATTTCTTTACAAATGAGGTTCAGAAACGATCGAAATTGTTTGAGCCGAAATTTTATAATTCTACATTTTTGTTAAACATTGGTTTTTTTAATTCAAAACTGTAATATTGTAATCTTTAGTTTTCCACAAACATGGCTTTGACTCATATAGTGCAAGAAATTTCCAACAAAATCCTTTTTCTTAAAAAAGCATATTAAGGGCTATAAAATTATTTATTTTAAATATAGTTAAATTGTTAATAGATAAGTTAACGTCCATAACACTTTTATAGTTTGAATAAAAACATATGTATGTATATATATCAGTTTTTTTGGTTTGAAAATTCGTCTCTTATGCCGAGTTTCCACTATGCATTGAAATGACAAAAAATGCATGCTATTTAAAAAAAATTCCATGTGGAAATGAACTTAATTACTATTTTTTTTATGTAATGACACGATTATTTTTTAATGCCCGACTTTGTCATTTTTGGCATTTAATGCCTAGTGGGAATCCAGCATTACATAAAAGAAAAGAATTAGATAATGTCGAGGATGAATACATTTTCCAAAGGGCTAAAAAAGGGCTAGTAGCAATTTTAAATTTATGTGGCCAAAAAAAGTATGTGGTAGCTAAATCTAGCCACCAAAGGGCTAAAACGTCAACACTGGTCTGAGTTAACTTTTCATTTTTATTTTAGGTGTGTTCGATTGCAAAATATGTTTACACTGCTTTCATTTCAATCCCTTTGCTTTCTTTCCAGAAAATATTAGTAGATCTTTAGCTTTTGTTGGTAAAAATGGTAGAAAATAAATTACACTAAAAAGTTGGTAGATGTACCAATACAGTGGTTAAAGCCGAGCGCTGGTTCAATATGAGCATATGTAGTTAGTTATGTGAGAAAAGTTTCGCACTGCTATTGCTCATACTGACTACAGTTGTATGTACTCTTTGTATGTAACTACATATTGAAATGCTTACAGCTGACGGATTGTTGCAGAAATAGGAATATTCCAAGCAATAATGACCGGCACATGGTGAACGACGGATAAGCACGCCTTATCCCCTGCCGGAAGTAAGTGATTTTATTATCACAAAATTATTTCGTTACTTTAATTTAAAATTAAACTATATGTTATTCAAGTGGATCGTATTGTTTTTTTCTGATAATATTGTTTAACTTGTTGATTGCAGTTTCACAAATAAACGAACGATTATGTACATATGTATTTATGTACTTGTACATATGCAAGTACATATATTTGTGTGCACTATGTACGATAACTTAATGTGTTGATGCTCCAAAAGTGCTGTTATCGAATTTTTTATTTTTTTTTTTGATTCTTTTTAAGAAACCACGATTTAGCGAACAAAGGTGGCGCATCCCGCAAACCGCTACTTTGGTTTGGCCGATTTTGACAATTCTCATGTAAAAGTGAACAACGCCTCAGAAACTTTAAAAGCACTGAAATTTACTAATCTTCTTCTTTTTCTTTATTTGCGCTGTAGCCGCTAATACTTTCACAAAAATCACATTTTTTAACAAGTTCTTTATTAATTCTCTTTATAAATCATATATTTTTACAATTTAACACAATTAAACCACGCCTCCTATCGAAAAATTTAATATTAAAAAAATTTACTAATCTAACAGTTTATTTTTTCCTCCTTAACGTCTTTGTTTACTATTACTTGAGAAATGTCATCGCCGTCGGGAATGCGCAATCTTGTATTATATCATTATTGTTAAGAAACTATGAAAATTTTACAGAAGCCGAATTGAGTTGTGCACGCGCCAGTGTTATTCGTTAAACTAAGCAAATACAATATCATCAAACAGCTACAAAGTCGCCTTCCTCGGATTAATTGCGATTAAAGCCGAAAAACGCAGCGTTCCTCAAACTGTGGTCTGCTTATGCGATGCTGCAAATGTGGTTGATTTTAAAGTACTATTATTTACTTCCAGAATTCAACCGACAAATTTTACCCCTTGATAAATAACCATCCCGGATTTTTAGAGCAAGTTTTTGTCAGCGCTGAATATGATCTGACATAAATGACATGGCCACTAATTGGAGCTAGCTGCATATAGCATTCCTGTAGTTATTCCTTCTAAAAGTATGTTCACATATCAATATTATCTCAATCTAAGCTCGTTTTTTAATCACCCCGTTTACATAGGCAAATCTCAGATTATTAGCTGTCAAATTTGTTGTGGTTGATATTCTCACATCTCAAGGAAAAGTTATGTTTCTTCTCTGAGCCACCGTGATCACGTTTTTCTGCTATAATAAGCAATATACATATATTTTAACTTAACATTTTATTAAAAATACCTTTACAAACCTCTTTTCCCTGCTAGCGCCCATTTTTGTTTACTTTTACATTTGGCATTTCTCCTCTTTTTCGCAAAAACAATCGATAAAACTAGGATGGACACCGAAAAGTTATCGGTTAAATCTGAGATTATTTAATAATTACAGATTAACAAGGTTAGGTGTTAAGCTCGAAAATGAGGATAATCTAGTTATATGTGAACCTAGTACAATACCTATAAAGTCTGGATAATGTTTTAAGAGGCCAACGATTTTCTGATATGATCCATTATCAATAATCTGATTTAGTCTTTCTAGATTCGCGACTCTTCGGCATGTACCCTGAGTTATAATTCTTTTAAAATGAATAGTTTCTACGTACTCCTTTTCAGTTTTCGATTAACACTCGTCCCAAGCGGAGTTGTTTCTCTTGTGTTCATTTGAAGGGGTTAGAATCAAAAGGATCTAAGTAGTTCTGAAATTTTTATGAGATAATTAAGGTTAAAGTTGATTACTTATTGTAAATTCTGGGTAAATGGATTCTTGCCTAAATTAATGCAGGTTGAAATGAATATTACTCTTTGTCACCACATAAACACTATATTTAACTATACAAATATGGGTATGACTTATATTGTCAAAAAATGGTACTTAAATCATAAAGAGACGGTAGCGTTCATCCGGATGAACTCTGGAATTAACTGCAGTTGATCCGTATTAAGTCCGAGTTAATCCGGATCAACGCTGCCGTCTGTTAAAGGTTTTAGACCCTTATGATTCTAACCCCTTCATTTGGGCATTTTCGCAATTACTAACAGTGATGGTAAATTTTTTTATTTTTTTTGTTAGAAAATCCCCGCCCAACAACAAAAATCCCCCACTTTTCTTTACGCCTTTAAAAATTTTTCCCCACAAAATTCCCTAAAAATTTTATCTAATAATTCCTTATAAAATTAGAGGAAGACCGAAAAAAACTTTGACTATATAAAACACAGAAGGCTCAATGTATAGACAATTTATTATAATAACAAGTATAATACATAAACATATAATATATGCACTATTGCGTTGTACGTTTACATACATATCCAAGCTAGTTGTACAAAATTCATTAAAGGATTTCCTAGAAAAGGGTGTCTTACTAACATAAAGGACAAACTAATACCCGCGGGTTTCACCCCACGTTTTAATTCAAATATGAAAAATAATTTAAAAATGTTATATTTTATTGCCCATTTTTTTATAGCTGTATATTTATAAGCGAGCTAAGGTATTTAGGCCGATTAGAAATATGAAATTATAAAATCTCGTCTGCAAGCTATGCATACCAAAGATGTCAGCTTCTCCAAGTTTACCTTAAAATGGTTGCAAGATACACCGCGTGATCGTGTAACCTTCTGGCAGGTGCCACGTTGGGTTCTTAATATTTCCAACTCAAGTTCAGGTTGATAAAATACGACTTCTCAGTACTGTAGCTAAATGCCTCCAGAAATATGCATCATGCGATTTTTAGATTACATATGGCAGATTCCGGCTCTCCCTTTTCCATTAACAGAAATTTTGTCTGTCAATATGGTACTGATAAAATAATGGTGCATTTACATGGTATGAAGCCATATGAAAAAAAAAAAAATACTTCGAGAGATTTTCTATCCTTCCAGAGATATGTATTAAGAAGTTTTTAGTATGTATGGGAGGCGACATGCCTCCTTTTCCAATAACTCACATTTTCTCCATGAGCAATGGATAAATTTTATATACATAAATCCATACCAAGTTCCAGTATTCTTCCTGAAACACTTCCAGGGATATATGGTAAAAAATCGTCAATTCGTACGGGAAGTGCCATGCCCCCTTTTCTTATAACCCTAATTACCTTCCATGAGTATGGAATTGATTTTATATATCCCGATACCAAGTCCCAGTACTCTACCATAAACACTCCTAGAGCTATGCAGTTTAAAATAGAGTCCGACCGATTAATCGGCATCGGCATCGGCATCGGCTAGTATCGGCACAAAATTGAGCATCGGCATCGGCATCGGCCTTTTTTCGCCGATTCTTTGCCGATTCTTTGGAATTTCTTTTCAAATGTTCAGATGAAGCGACAGCCAACATTAAAAAGCATTTGCAGACAGCTCACAAAAATGATTTTTTTTTTGTTGAAGGTGTTTCACGTTTTTTCCGTACAAAAGTATGTGCGACAATTTTCTTTTATATGGAGATCACTGCCAACAAAAAAAATTGCCAAAAATTAACGGGATTTTATAGCAGCTTAAAACTTGCACTTCAACTACCCAAATTCTGATTAAAAAGTTTGAAATTTTGGTGAAAATAAGCAGAATTTTTCTAATTTTTGTACAAAGTTTGAAATCTTAATTTATATGGTGTTTGTTGTATACCAGCTAGACTTTTATAAAAAAAATAATAAACATTAAATAAAAAAGACAAAATCGGTCAAAATATCGAAATTCTTTTATTTTGTGGACCACTATATGTATGTACAATGTACATTGTACATACATACATACATAGCATGTGTATGTATGTACATACATGTGTATGTAATGTTGCATAACAAGCCAATTAATTCAATTATTTCTTATCTTTTGTGGTTTTTTAACTCCGTGAAATGAACTGATTTTATGAATTAATACATTTATTTGTAATTTTTTATGGAATCGGCATCGGCATCGGCATCGGCCGATTCTTTCCCCATAAGCCGATTAATCGGCATCGGTACCTGAAAAAAAAATTGGAATCGACCGGACTCTAGTTTAAAATAGTAAATTTGTTCGGGAGGAACCACGCTCCAAATATTTTTCCATGGGCATGGAATTAATTTTGTATGCACATCATGGCGCCCAATTCCAGTCCTCTGCAATACACACCTCTAGAGACATTCTGCATAAAAAAAAAAACAAATTTGCATGGTAGTTGCCACGCCAAATGGTCCAATAACTCCTACTTTTCTCCATGAGTATGGGATTGATTTCATGTACATAGATATCCCCAGACCAAGCTCGGGTACTCTACCCCAAATATTTGAAGGGATACGAAATATGAAAGTTTCAGTTAGTATGGGAGGTTTCACGCCTTTTTTTCTCAGTGAGTATGAATTTTATTTCACATGGATATCTCCATACCAAGTTCCAGGACTCTCTCACAAATACTTCCAGAGATATGTATACATTATGGAAATTCCAATTTATATGGGAGTGGCCACGCCCTCTTGATTTATCGAAATTATTTGCAGTCTAAGACCATCCTTGGGAAGTCCGTAGGAAGTGCGCCTATTCTTCAATCCAGGTCACAAAGACATATGTTCAACATTTAATCTTTAAAAATATCTCCGAAATTAAGCTCTCTTAAACTTTTTTCGTTTGACAACTGTACTGTAATATTTGATTGCACTTGTTAATTTAATTAAACTTTTTAACAGGTGGAAACTCCTAAAAAGGTAGCTCATTTTTCAACCTAGATCATAAACTATCTGTGCGTAAAATTGATTGATTGATCGATTTGATTATTAATTTAATTTAACTTTTTTAACAGGTGGCAACTCTTAAAGATGTAGCCTAATTTGCAACCTAGGTCATAAACTGTCTATGTGCATATTTCCATGCAAATCCGTTCAGTCGTTTCCGCGTGATTATTAATTTGATTAAACTTTTTTAAAAGGTGGCAACTCTTAAAGGGTAGCCTATTTTGCAATCTTGGTCATAAACTATCTGTGCGCAAAATTTCTTGCAAATCCGCAACTCTTAAAGACAGTAGCCTATTTTTTAATATAGGTCATAAACTATCTGAAACTCATGGAACTCCAACATCTAAGCATACAGGCTTTCACATAATATTAGTAAGATAGCGTTCCTCAAACTGTGTTCCGCTTATGCGATGCCTGCAAATCTGGTTGAATTTAAAGTACTATTATTTAATTCCAGAATTCAACTGACAAATTTTACCCCTTGATAAATGAGAGTCCAGGATTTTTAGAGCAAGTTTTTGTCTGCCCTGAATATGATCTTATATGCGTTCTGACATAAATGACATGACCACCAACTGGAGCTAGCTGCACATAAAATTCCCCTAGTTATTCCTTCTGCTACCCATAAAGTCTGGATAATTTTTTAAGAGGCCAACGATTTTCTGATGGGATTCATTAATATTTATCAATAATCTGATTTAGTCTTTCTAGACTCGCGACCTGCGGCATGTACACTCAGTTATAATTATTTCAAAGTGAATAGTTTCTACGTAATCCTTTCAGTCTTCGATTAACAGTCGTCCCGAGCGGAGTTGTTTCTCTTGTGTTCATTTGTGCCTTTTCGCAATTACTAACAGTGATGGTACATTTTTTTTTTAGAAAATCCCCACTCAACAACAAAAAATCCCAACTTTTCTCTACGCTTTTGAAAATGTTTCCCTACAAAATTCCCTACAATCTTTATCTAATAATTCCATTTAAAATTAAAAGAAG